TATTGTCAAATGCCTTATAGCTCTGCTGTTTTCATGGGCATTTTGTCATGTTTCCTTGGAAAATAATTGACCTGAATTTTTTCCCACTGTATTAGTCACTCAGTCACATGCCATTTCCTTCTTTGAAGATCTCAGGAACACTGCACAATGTTCATGATAGATGGAATTAGTTAAAAGATAAATTTTGGTGCAAAAAATTTTAGGTACATGCCTAAGCATTTTTCATTAACGTTTTGAAGATACCTCATATGCAGATTTAAAAATTATTTCAATCAAAATAAACTAATTCCATTTTCCTTAAACTTTTTGAAGTACCACTGTATCAAGCTGTTTTTCAATGCCATTATTAAAATCTTGTTTGAATTGTAACATTCATGTTATAATTTGAATAACTCAGCCTCATTTTACAGTGGATTAATATATTTTATACATACCTTCCTTTTTTTTTTTTTTAAAGATTTATTTATTTGAAAGTCAGAGTTGCACAGAGAGAGGAGAGGCAGAGAGAGAGGTCTTACATCCGATGGTTCACTCCCCAGTTGGCTGCAACGGCCAGAGCTGCGCCGATCTGAAGCCAGGAGCCAGGAGCTTCTTCCAGGTCTCCCACGCGGGTGCAGGGGCCCAAGGACTTGGGCCATCTTCTACTGCTTTCCCAGGCTGTAGCAGAGAGCTGGATTGGAAGAGTAGCAGCCGGGACTGGAACCGGCTCCCATATGGGATGCCAGCACTTCAGGCCAGTGTGTTAACCCACTGCGCCACAGTGCCGGCCCCACATCCCTTCCTTTCAATTTCTGTATATGATTCATCTGTTGCATGAAATGTCATGCATGAATGATGAGACGTTTCTACCCTGGGGAAGAGGGCATCTTTAAGCTGGGAGAATACTGTGTATTGTTTCGTAGCTGAATATTCCCTTAAGAATGAAGCTTTACTGTTTTTTTGTTTTAGTTACCAGAGAAGTGTATGTAGCACTGACCAGTTATATTTCAATCTTAGGATGCAGTTACAGGAAACTTCTTTTTGCCTTTAAATAAAATTTTTTTTGTTTATTTGACAGGCAGAGTGACATAGAAGCAGGCAGGGGGCGGGGGCGGGAAAGGAGAGGGAGGAGAAATTCAGTGAGCAAGCAAGAGGAGAGAGACCAAATGGCTGCAAAGACTTGGCTGGTCAGGAGCCTGGAACTCCATCTGGGTTTCCCCATGTGGTTGGCTGAGACCCAGGTACTTGGGTCATCTGCTGTTGTTTTCCCTGGTAGACTAGCAGAGAGCTGAGCAGCCAGGGCTCGCTGGCATTGCAGGTGAAGGCTTTACCATTGTGTCACAATGCCAGCCCCAAGATCAGAAAATATTAAGTCCTTCTGTCCTAAGTATCAACTTTTCTGCCCTTAACAGATTTTTTAAAATCCCCAAATAGTGCCTGTATAGTAGCTCATTGTGTTAGTCCTGATTACAGTTAAACCTTATCACTTATTTTTAAGACTGTTTAAGCAGAACTTAAGGGACTGTTTGGCTGTTAAATATTAAGAATAATTAATAATTTTGACAACTAGAACTTGGCTAAATTTCTGAGATTACTTTTCGAGGTGTCAATAGAATTCCGTGCAAATTACAAATTGGTATGTTTGACAAGTAGAAAAGGTTTAAAGTGTGTATATCATTGTGTTGTTGAGATGACTTAAATAATCCTGTTATCCAGTTGATTTATGCTTCTACTTTTGTCATCCTTAACTTTATCAAAGGAAGATGCGTAAGTAAATGAAAAACTAACTTATGAGTACAACTGGATTTAGGAGCAGGCCTCTTGAAATATCTTGTAGCAGAGTGCTAGCTGCAGGTAGATATAAAAATAAGTGCGCTGATTTATGGTGTACTTTGTTTTGAAACATGAGAATACTTTCAAAAAGTATTTTTCATTTTGCTGCGAAAAAATTGAAGTCCTTGAAGTGTTTTCACTATGTGCATTTTCCATGAATTTTTTGGAAATCCCTTGTATTTAAGATTCTATATTGGGTTTCATTGAGGAGTGTTAGGTATCAGTGAATCATTTTAAATTACTAGCAAAATTTTATAGATGCAGGAGAGCTGTTCAAGACATTCATAGAAAATGTTTTATGGAAAAACTATTTACTGATGTGAAGTATTTTGCACAGAATAAACTTAAAACATTGTAAAAATTAATTTTCATCTTATTTATCCTGGCTCATCCACTGGCCAGATGAGAACTTAGTCTGGGTCTCCCACTGTTGCTGTCACCTGCTGCTCCCAGCGTGTGTGTTAGGAAGGAGCTGGAATTGGGAGCAGAGCTGAAGCTCAGCACTTCAAACAAAGGATAGAGACATCCCAAGTGGAGTCTTTACTGCTACGCCAAACACCCATTCTTGAAACCAAGTTTTAAAAAGCTAAATCTGATTTTATTGTATTTCTAGGGGGAGAAAAGAAAACATGGCTGAAGCTACCTAAGTTCAGCAACTTCTAGAGAAATTCTGAAGAGTCTGAAAACCAGGAAAGCTCAACACATGCTCCCTTTCAGGTCAGTTGGCATCTATTCTTGTTTTGTCAAAGCTCCTCAAGATCGATTTCTTTTATCAGTCTTCCTGATTCCAATCCTTTAGACTACAGTGAACATACTGGTCCCAGGGTTTTATTTTTTTTAAAGATTTATTTATTTGAAAGAGTTACACAGAGAGAGGAGAGGTAGAGAGAGAGAGAGAGAGAGAGAGGTCTTCCATCTGGTGGTTCACTCCCGAATTGGCTGCAATGGCCGGAGCTGCGCTGATCCGAAGCTAGGTGGCAGGAGCTTCCTCTGGGTTTCCTTCCACTGCTTTCCCAGGCCACAGCAGAGAGCTGGATTGGAAGTGGAGCAGCAGAGTCTTGAACCGGTGCCCATATGGGATGCCGGCACTGCAGGCTAGGGCGTTAACCTGCTGTACCACAGCGCTGGCCCCAGTCCCAGGGTTTTAATAGAGAACAGTGTGGATGAAGCCTGTCTATAAGACTAGTTGGCATATTTTCTGCTCCAAATTGCTGCCCTCTGTTTTCTTTAGAGAAAAGTGGACTAAGAGGAGAAAAAAAAAGAAAAAAAATACCCTATGGTCTTTAATGATCCCCAAACTTAAAAAGATTAGTGTATAAATCTTCAAAGTATAAGAATATAAAATCATGTCAATGATAGGTGACTAGGTGCATTGCTTCTTCTGCTGTCCAGCTGTTTGAGAGGATACCCACATTTCCTTTTCTTTCATTAGGCACACAATATAAAATTGTATGGGAACATTTCATTATTGTAATCTTTTCAACAGAATTCCATCTTAATGGATCCAGAAAGTATTAATTTAAGCCATTTGATCTTGTGAAGATAAATGTCATACTGCTACATATATGATGGTGGGGACCAGGGGTGGCAGCACTGAAAACTTTTTGGAAATGCAGCAGCTCCAAGTAGGACAGAGTCCTATAGAATCCGAATGTCCATATTAACAAGACCTTCCAGGGTTTCTATCTACATCTTGTTTGAGAAGCCCTGATGATTCTGTACTTTTGAGGAAATTAAAAATATTTTGACCTGGTGCAGTGTAAAACTTAAGAGCTATTTTGTATACTATTACCCAGTTCTAGAGAATTAATCTTGTGCTATGCTTCCCATACCTGGCACCTAACCCAGCATTATCATCTAGGAATTTGCTAAGAAATCATATTCACAGGCCCCATCTGTTGCCTGAGGATGGGATCTCCACCTCCCCCCTTTAAGGATTTATTTAGTTGAAGGTTAACAGAAACACATCATCAAGTGGCCACAACAGCCAGGTCTGGGCCATATTAAATCTAGGAGCTGGGAACTCAATCCTGGTCTCCCATGTGGGTGGCAGGGTCCCAAACATTAGGATGTTTGTTCAGAAATGTAAAACGTGTAAAAAGACTTAGAAAGCTTCAGATACCGACCTCTGATCCTCCTAGGCTAGTGGGTGAAGAGGATCAGGATAGAAGTTGAAAATTCTTTCTACCTTTACTGGACAAGAGGATTGCTTTGGCCTTGACCTACAGTTGTAAGCAAATCTGTAAATCTGCTGGTGCTGCTTGAGAACTGTTTTGCTATCCTGAGGAATCAGGCTCATACTTTTTTTTTTTTTTTTAAGAATTTTTATTCATTTATTTGACAGGTAGAGTTACAGAGAGTGAGAGAAAGTTCTTCCTTCTGTTGGTTCATCCCCCAAATGGCTGCTACGGCTGTTACCACGCCGATTCAAAGCCAGGAGCCAGGCCCTCCTTCCTGGTCTCCCATGCAGGTGCAGGTGCCCAAGCACTTGGGCCATCCTCCACTGCCCTCCTGGGCCACAGCAGAGAGCTGGACTGGAAGAGGAGCAACCGGGACTAGAACGCGGCGCCCATATAAACAGCACTAGGTACAGTGCCTGACAGAATCGCAGGTCAGCAGAGAATCCGCACACCAGCAAGGAACAGTTCTGGAGGCAAGAGTGTCTAGCTTATTCAGGTCCTTGCCATCCATAAGAAAGCAGAAATTCCACCACTTCCATACTTTTACTTACCCACTCAGACACGGGCTTTACCTTGCTGTCCAGAAGCTAAGTGATAGAGCTAAAAAACTATATTCAATTGCATGGCTCTGTTGTATTCCTAGTAGACACATTGTTATTCAGGGAACACCTGTAATCTTTGTGGACTTTCCACAGCTTCTGTATTTCTGTCTAAACTCTTAAAGGAACTATAAATTTTCTACTTAATGTATATCTTAGTTCTGCTTTCTTGATAAGGCATGCATTTAAAAATTCATTCTTTTATCCAGTTGAAGATTACTGGCTCACTTAGTGTTCTGACCTGCACTATTACTAACTCAAATCTTCTTGAGTTTCCAGCTCAGCCCCCCTGAAACCTATGAAACGCAGTCAGTACTATTACATGATTCAGTTTAGTTGAAAAAGTCTACTGCAGCCATCATTGAGCTAGTAAACCACACAGTCAGTGCCCACATTGGAATCCTGAAGCTCGAAATATGAAGTGTCTTTTATTGAGAAATGCATAGGAAAAGGCAGTTTTAGGCTGTTCAGTAAAAATGGTTCTTTGATATGTGTACACAATGGATCTACCATAATGTTGCACTCAGAAAACTTCCTTAATCCAGAAGGGGCTTCATGTGTATTTGCCAAATACCTCAGTGGAAGGATGGACCAAGGATGACACCTCTGGTGTCACCTACAGAGGCAGTAACTTGTGTGTTGATATGACACAGCACCAGCACGGCAAAGGCTCAGTGAGTGCTGCAGACAGGCACAGGAGCTACCATTTCAAAATTATTTAGTCTGAGAATAAGCAGATCTCTTTAAGCTTTATTATGTCCTGTTTACATTCTTGCTGCTTCTTAGACCCTTGTTACCTTCTGAAAGGATAAGGTCATGTGTGGAGACCTCCCTCCCATCACCATGTTGGATGGGATTAGTCATCCTTTGGGGCAGCAAATCCACATTTATTCAGTAAATTGCCTGTAACATGCCTCTCTTGTTTTGATCAGCTACTTTACACATAGCTTTTTTTTTTTTCTTTTTAAGCACAGAAATTCACCAGGGCTAGTAGAAAATTTCAAGTAATAAAAAACTCATTTTCTTAAATAATCCTCATGTATATCATTCCACATTGTGGAAAAAATCAAATATGCAGTCTGGACACATTGTTGAAGTTTCCAAATATGTCACCCATACTTACATCTGTATTTTATAACATATTAGAGCCACCATGCCCCCTTACAAACTATAATAGATGACAGGCTAAAATTCCAAGGGGTTTACAGATGAAACCTGACATTTGAAAGATGTGCCAGAAGAATTCCAAACTGCTCCCAAGATAGAATTTAGGGGTGCATCTGAGAACTTCATCCAGTCCTTCTTATGGGGTCACTGCAGCTGCACTCTGTATGCACCTATCAGCAACTTGACCTAGGAAGAGAGAAGCAGCGTGTGTCAGCAATAGCCGGAGTGACTGACTTGGTTATCAGTTCACATCACAGTTACTGTGATTTTAATAAAAACTGCACGTGTTTATGACTGAGGTCATTCAATAGCTATTATCGGATAGTATTTCAGTCGAGCTTTCTGTCACAGAGACATCAGTGACCATCTGGCAATACTACTTGAAAGCCCAGCACAGGACTCAACACAGCTGGAGAGCTGCTCTTGGCCCTGATCTTCCCGTATTATTTACATTTGGGCTTTATAGTGTACCCAGCATCACCACCCTGGCATACTTGTCTCCAGTACATGTGTGCACACTGTACTTGGCAGGAGGAAGGAACACTGTGACATTTTTCTAATGATAACATAACCTGGCGTAACAATTTGAGAAAACAGTATGAAGAAAGGATTTTCACCTTTGCTGAGGGTGCTTCCGTCAACCTTATGAAGAGTTTATTGGGGCCCGCAACAGGGCTGAATGAGTAAACAAAATGACTATCCTATAGTGGAAAAGACAGAAAAAAGGCAGTATTTTTAAGATGAACTGCTACATCTAGACTATAATAATGATTTTAAACAGGCACAAGAAATTACTAAGACTCTAATGATAGAAAAGAATCACTTTTTTAATTTTATATGAGTCAATATGGTATAAATTCTTTTCTCTCCAACAAAATCCAGATAAATCTTTGGAGTCAGAACATACACAGCAGTAGTGTCCATATACTCTTTAATTTTGCTGAATTTAGCCCAAGGAAAGAATTCTAAAAGTGGCAAAAAAGGGATGTGTTCAAATATTAGAGAAAAAATTTTATGATATTAAAATGTACTTATACAAATAGATTAATTATGCACTAGAAGTCAGCATAATTATGACCAATGTTAAGCATAATATTTAAAATTGGACTATGTTTCCAATTTATATTTCTTGAGCCCTAAGAATTTATATTCAAAAAAAACAAACATTTAGAAACACTTAGAAAATTCAGGAAAATTTGGCTTTGAGTATGTCACTGGATCAATTATGGAATGAGTATTAATTGAAAATTAAGTGACCTATACTTCAGAAACTACTGAAAATCTTACCAGAAAAATAGGAAGTTGAAATTTATCATTTAGAACAACAGCTTGTACACTGCATGGTCCACAGAGCCGAGCAATAACTTCTTTACCCAGAAAGTTTGCATGGAAAATAAAGAGCAGGATACCAGAGCCTGAGTAGGGGAAATGGAAGGTTATTACCAGTGCCCTAAGCAGACTGGCTCACCCACCCACCCTGACTCCCAGTTTCTCTCAGTGTGTGTCTGTCACCTGGCGGTTTTCAAAGCCACAGCCATTTTCCTCCAAGTCCCTTTGATAGCTCCTGAGAAAGACTTTGTGTAACTGTATCTAAAAGTTGCTGTCACAGCTGGTGTTGTGGCACAGCACATTATACCACTGCTTGGGATGCCTGCCCTCCCTTTATTTGAGTGTTAGCATACAGTGTGAAACTTTATCCCAAATACATGAAATTCATCTTTTTTTTTAAGGTTTATTTATTCGAAAAGCAGAGTTATAGAGAGGCAGAGAGATTCTTCCATCTGCTGGTTCACTCTCCCAAATGGCTGTAATGGCTGGAGCTGAGCTGATCTGAATCCAGGAGCTTTTTCAGGGTCTACCACACGGGTGCAGGGGCCCAAGGGCTTGGGCCATCTTGTACTGCTTTCCTAGGCCATAGCACCTACCTGGACCAGAAGTGGAGCAGCTGGGACACAAACCAGTACCCATATGGGATGCCAGCACTGCAGGCGGTAGCTTTACCTGCCGTGCCAAGCGCCGGCCCCATGAAATTCATCTTTGAAAACAAAGTCATGTTAAAAATCTAGACTTTGGCCGGCATCGCGGCTTAATAGGCTAATCCTCCGCCTAGCGGCGCCAGCACACCGGGTTCTAGTCCCGGTCGGGGTGCCGGGTTCTGTCCCGGTTGCCCCTCTTCCAGGCCAGCTCTCTGCTATGGCCAGGGAGTGCAGTGGAGGATGGCCCAAGTGCTTGGGTCCTGCACCCGCATGGGAGACCAGGAGAAGCACCTGGCTCCGGCCTTCGGATCAGTGCGGTGCGCCGGCCGTGGCGGCCATTGGAGGGTGAATCAACGGCAAAGGAAGACCTTTCTCACTGTCCACTCTGCCTGTCAAAAAAAAAAAAAAAAAAAAAAAAAAAAAAAATCTAGACTTTGATCAAATAGTGATCTCGGCCAGTTATCAAGAAGAAACTTTGAGAGACCCCCCAGGAAGAAAGGGTTCTTTCTTCTAGCTTGGCAATGCAACTTCCCTGCTGAGAGCACTAAGGATCACAGGAGAGCACAAGGATCAGGATGGAGGGACTGTCTTAACTGTCTTGCACTCAAACCTCACTATGAAAAAGCAAATGGAGTCCAAGGCTGGTTTTCCCAGAGTAGGCTGTTACAGGCCAGGCAGAGGAGCAGGTAGCCCAAATGGGGACTGGGGTCTACAGTGAAACCCAGAAGATTCTCTTCTTAAGGTCATGTTTGTATTTCTCCCAGTCAAAATGAGTTAGATCTAAGTTTGTTAGTCAGTTTTACTCTTGACCTAAATATTTGTATTTCATAGAAAGTGACATAAGGGACTCTAATTAAATTGCTAAGAGCTGTTTCACTATAATTTTCTTTCCAGCCAACAAGGCACAGTGGCACTCTGGGTTAAGCTGCCATTTGTGACACCAGCATCCATTTCTGATCCAGCTCCCTGCTAGTATGCCTGGAAAAGGAGTAACTACTTTGGCCCCTGGTAGGCTTGGATGGAGTTACAAACTCCAGCCATTTGGGGAGTGAACCAGGGATTTCTCTGTCTTCTTTTTTTTTTTTTTTTTTTTTTTTATAGGCAGAGTGGACAGTGAGAGAGAGAGACAGAGAGAAAGGTCTTCCTTTTCTGTTGGTTCACCCCTCAATGGCCACTGTGGCCGGCGCTGCAGGCGGAGGATTGGCCTATTGAGCCTCGGCGCCGGCCTTCTCTCTCTCTTAAAGATTTATTTATTCACTCCAAAAGCAGAGTTACAGAGAGGCAGAGAGAGGCCCTTCATCTGCTGGCCCAATCCCCAAATGGTCACAACAGCCAGAGCTGGGCTGATCCAAAGCCAGGAGCCTGGAGCCTCCTCCGGGTCCCCCACATGGGTGCAGAAGCCCGAGCACTTGGGCCATCTTCTGCTTTCCCAGCAGAGAGCTGGCCTGGAAGTGAAGCAGCTGGGACTCTAACCAGTGCCCATATGGTGGGCTTTACTGCTTCGCCACAATGCCTGCCCCCATGTTGTCTTCTCTTACTCTGCCTTTAAAATAAATACATCTTTGGCTGACAAAATTTTTTAACAGCCCCTGAGGAAGCCAAGGTCTGTATATGTAAAATGTCTGTGTGCTTGCTGCCTAAAGCTTTACCAAGGAGAATGCGGATACTCACAAGGGCTAGACCTCAGGGCGTCCTCTGAGGAAAATCCACTGGGTTGAGGATGACAGGGACAGGGCATCTTTTTCTAGCAAGATTTCATATAAATAAAACTTCTGGTAGATGCAGACATGGTACTCGTGTAGAATAAAATTGAGTAGGCCAGTTGTGCAAGGCACAGCAAGTAAGAGGTATTGTCAGCTGATATGCTTACTGCTGCTGGTGCTCACAACTGGAAGTGCACATGCACTATGTAAATAGTCCATGCAACAAATCAGGATTCTTTAATGCCAAGTTCACTAAACACCAAGGCTATTTTTTCTTTAATTAATATGTCACTTTCTTCACCAGAACAGTTGTGCTGTTTATTTTCTTCATTATTTCAAGGTAGAGTGATGGAGAGGGAGAAACAGAGACATCTTCCATCTGCTGCATCACTTACCAAATGCCTACAATAGCCAGGGCCCATAGCTCCAAAGCCAGGAGCTTGCAAGTCCATCTGGGTCTCTGGCATGGGTATCAGGAACCCAAGTGCTGGGCCCGCTATCTGGAAGCTGCATCAGAAGCAGAGCAGTCAGGACTCAAGGCAGGCAGTCTGATGGGGGACACGGGCATCCCGTGCAGCAGCTCAGCTCAGCTGCTGCACCATGCTAACGTTTGTTAGCATGCCCCTGCTAACTCTCGTTGTAATTATTTCCTTAGGTTTTGTGCAAAGAATGGGTCCTGTGTAGAGGCTTACCTTCTGGTATGTTCTGTGGGGGTTTATAATGGAAATCTGTGGAAAAATCTGGCCCCTCACAGAGCCGATGGCATGCTATTGGGAAAACAGGTTCTAGCAGAGCAAGGCGAGCTTCAAAATAATCCCTTATTGTCTCTTCAGCCACTCTTGAGAGTCTGATGAGACAGGACAGGAAAAATGGTTAATAACATTAGAAAAAGACCTCAGCTATCAATCATTAGACTGTTGAATACCAATGTGGCCTTCCCAGGTCAACCTTTGACAATCAAGGGGCTAGGCTGTGGTAGAGTGGACAGGTTATGGTGCCGCTTATGATGTCAGCATCCCATACTAGAGTGCCAGCTAGTATACTTCCCGCCTTCCTGCTAATGTGCCTGGGAAGGCAAGGCTTGGGTGTGTGAAACCCAGATGGAGTCCAAGGCTCCTGGACACTTTGCTATTATTGCCATTTGGGGAGTGAACCAGCTGATTGGAAGAGCAATTGATTGATCGATAGATCAATCTCTCCCTCTCTCCTCTGACACACTGCCTTTCAAATAAGCAAACTTGGGAAGGAAAAACAAAAAAGACTTGAACTCTGCCCTCACCTACTTACCTGCTCTGTTTCTCTATAGCACCTAGCATCTTACTGCTGTCCTCTCACTGAACCTGAAATTCCAAGAGGGCAAGTCTTCCTCGTGCTGTCTACATGACCCCAGCTGACTGCACAGAAAATCAGAAATTCTGATCCTCTGTCCTGGGCAAACCAGGAAGGCTGGTGGCTGACCTGGCTGGCTCTGTGTATAGGAGACTGGACAGGTGGCTTCCTAGAATTCTTCAGTACCACATGCCATGTGCCTGGTTGGAGGCTGGCAGTGCTTTTTTGGCCTTTGCCTTTTATGTCTCTTGTCTAAAATTTACCTTAATTTTTGCTTAGAATGTGGATGCTACGCCTGGAATTGGAGTAATCATCTTCTAGATATGAAGATCCAAGTCATTTCCTAAGTAAAGAAGACCAGGAGAGGAGAGTGGCCACTGCCCCCAGCTGGCCTACGCGAGGACTCCTGTCACATGAACAGTAAGCACCTGCCTAGAGTGAGCTACCATCTGTAATTTCTGAGCAATGTTGCCAAAAGAATCCTCAGGTAATTAAAAAACACTGAATCATCTGTGTTATTAAGTATGAACTTGTAATAGAATGAAGTCTAATTTAGAGAATAACTTGAATAAACTACAGTATATCCAGACAACAGAATATTAGTGTAAGTCATCAAGCCATGAAAAGCCATGGAAGGAACTTTATCTGCCTGTTCCTAGCAGAAAGAAACTAATCTGAGAAGCCCAAATAATCTCTCACTCCAGCTACTCTGGAAAGGGCAAAACTACGGAGATGGTTAAAACAAAAAATCAGTGATTGCCAGTGATTGCATGGAATACAGAGGATTCTTCAGGCAGTGAACTGCAGATGGCAATACATGTCAACATACACTCGCTAAGCCCACAGAATGTGCAACACCTCGAGGGAGCCCCACGCCAACTAGGAACTCTAGTGATGATGTGTCAGCATACGTTCTTGGATTGTCACAGATGTGCTGCAAGTGTGGGACACTCGAAAGACCTGCTGTATGTGTACCAAGAATGGGGCATTTGGGAAATCTCTATACCTTCCACTCAATTTTGCTATGAAACTAAAACTGCTGTACAGTCTATTAAGAAAAAAAAGTTTACACGGGTCTAAGAAAGTGTCTGTTAACCAAATAAGAGCGGACTTAAGATTTTTAAACATATTCCTAGATATACCAGTGTTCACTTTGAAATTTTCTAAGATTTTGATAATTTTGAACATCATTTAAATGCACTTAGTAAATTTGTGATCTGGGAACAGAAATCCATCAGGATTTGCACTTAATCTTTTCCTGAGAAGTTATATAGGCTATTCTGGTGTGTTCAAATAATCTGTGCCTTAACCATGGCACAGTCACCTCATACTTACGTCTCTAAGTGGTTCTTCAGCAAGTCATACACAAGCACGTTGTTGGACTGCTTTGCAAAATGCAGAGCACTATTTTGATGCTTTGACAAAATGTTGCAGTCTGCCCCGCATTCAATTACAAGTCGTACAATATCTGAATTTCCTCTTTTACAGGCCTAGGTCGGGGAGGGAAACAGCAATGATTATTTAACTGTGAACTATGATCCTACCAATCAGAGTTGGTCTCTTTCTCCATATACTCCTGGCAGTTCTCTGGGAAGGGGGAATGAGGAGGGGCAAGAAAACTTGGGGTCCGGCTTCTGCAGGTATTGTGGTTTGCTATACCAACCAGGTGTTGTGCTCCTTTTTATTCAGAGAATGGCACAGATCCTCTGTACTGTGTTTGATTAACTTCAGTGGCTGAATCTTCAAGAAATGGGCAATTTCAAAAAGGATCTTTCAAATCCCAAGACAGACAAACACCAGGCCTTCCTGAGCCACCCTGTGCTGCTGCCCTTAGGGGGAGTTCCCAGTTCCTTTGTAGGCTGTGGACCCTGCCCCGTGCCCTTCTGGCTGCAGAGACGTGCAGGCATCTGCTATCCAGATGGACCTGGCGATGTTTGAGAGGAGACTCTGAGGAGCCCCCTTTTCTCCACACGGACACCAGTAACAGAATCAGATTTTTAAAAAGCCAAGCTCACTCTACTGAACGGTCAGCATTTCCGTGAACCAAAGTGAGTGAAGTTTACATTCCAAGTGTGGCCAGAGGTCAGGGGCAGGTGGTCTGGGCCTGCAGAACAGAATCAAAGACCAGACTGAGGGGCCGGCACTGTGGTGCAGTGGGTTAATCCTCTGCCTGCAGTGCTGGCATCCCATATGGGCGCCAGTTCTAGTCCCGGCTGCTCCTCCTCTTCTAACCCAGCTCTCTGCTTTGGCCTGGGAAAGCAGTAGAAGATGACCCAAGTATTTGGGCCCCTGTACCCATGTGAGAGACCTGGAGGAGGCTCCTGGCTTCGCATTGGCACAGCTCCAGCCAATGCATCCATCTGGGAGTGAACCAGCGGATGCAAGATCTCTGTCTCTCCCTCTCACTCTCTGTAACTACCTCTTAAATAAATAAATAAAATCTTAAAAAAAAGAGACCAGACTGAGTGCCAGGCCTACTCTGCCTACTCATGACAGACTGGGACCTTACAGACATGCTCAAGGCAGGGGTGACAGAAAGCCGCCTTCCTGGGAAGAGACAGGAAGATGGACCTCTCCAGCAGGGGTCTGCATCTCCTATGTCCTAACAGCACCTTAGGCCACGAACTGAGAGCTGCCACAGAGCAGGACTGAGCTGGGACTCAAGGGAAGCAAATGCAAAACTCACACAGGAAGGGGCGACAGCAATGTATGGGGCAGTGAGGGCTCCAACCTTCCATTCAAAATATCTGCAAGGTGGGCCTCTGGCTTCTCAATTAAGGTGCCAGTTAAGATCTGCATTCCATATCAGAAAAATGCATTTGTTCTTGGCTCCAGCTCCCTGCTAATGAGGACCAGACCCTAGAACAGTAATGATGGCTTAAGTGTTTAGGTTCCTACAACCCATGTGGGAAACCTGGATTAGGTTCCCAGCTCAGAGCTTTTTTCCCTCATCTCAGGCACATGGAAACTCCCTCTGCCTCTCAAATACATGAATAAATAATTATAGGTATCTGCAAACCAGCCTTTACTGCTGGCCAGCTCTCTTCCTGCTCTCGGGTCTCTGCATCTGCCAGAACTACGGTTTCCTGTCCTGCTCCAGTTCCTGACACACCCAACCCCAACCGCCCACTGACCTGTGTGTCCTTTTAAGACACAGCCCTGGGCTCACTAGGCTGAGCTCAGAGGTACTTCTGTGCCTGCTCTAAATCATAGTACGGACCACACCCAGCCCTAAGGGCTGCTCTGTGGCCACCTCTTCTGCTTATCTGCCAGGTGCTGGGTTCCAGAGGCTGTCCTGTCCTCCACGCTGGGCCTGGCTGTGGCAAGTGCCCCATGATTCCCCACCGATAGTACACACAGGACTCACCTTCATGAGTGCAGTCTCACCACTGCTCTGCTGGACATTGACAAAAGCTCCGGCTTCCAAAAGAATAGCCACTGTTGTTAAAAAGTTCTATTAAAATAAACAAACCCACTTTTAAAATGCATATGAAATTTTTGTTCATCAGGAAAAATACTCAATAAATTGTTTCCCAAGAGAGTGACTGCTGGCCAGTGTTCTCATATCCTAACGCCAGCAAGTACCACCTGAGGTTTGAACATAGCTCCTTTAAAAATATGTGGCATAGTAGGTGAAGCCTTCCCCTACAATACTGGCATCCCACATGGGCACCAGTTCAAGTCCCAGCTGCTCCACTTCCAGTCAATATCCCTGCTGATGGCCTGGGAAAGCAGCAGAAGATGGTCCAAGTTCTTGGGCCTCTGCACCCATGTAGGAGACCCAGAAGAAGCTCCTGGCTTTAGACTGGCCCAGCTCCTGTTGTTGCAACCATTTGGGAAATGAACCAGCAGATGGCAGACTCCTCTTTTTGTCTGTAACTCTGCATCTCAAATAAATAAATCTTTTAGAAACTATATTTCAAATCATGGACCAAAAGAAATACTGAATTTCAGTCAGAAAAGATGCTGAAATTATCTAAAACTGAAATTAATGTAGCTACTTCAGAGGCCTTTTCATGATAAATTAGTTGCAACTGGACCAATCACATTTTGGAAATTTGGTTACAAACTGGTCCTGATGATTAAAACCCCACCAAGGGCACCACACTTCACTATGGAATCACGTCACCGGGACGCTGACAGCAGAGCAGCCAAGTCACGGACCTTCTCCGCGGCGTGGATGAGGGCTGTGGTTCCGTTCTTCTGCCGCCCGTTCACTTTGGCTCCTTTGGTGATGAGGAGTCGCAGGAGGTCATCTTGCCCGCCTGCAGCAGCAAGCATGACCAGTGTCATCCCACTGGAATCCTTGGTTGGTTTCATTAAAGAGAAAAACTTGTTAATTTTCATTCAGAACAATTTCAGAACCAAGTCTTTTTACCTAAGATACTTCAATGTGAAATCACTAAAATGCATTGATTTAGGCATCTGCTTTGCTTTTTCATTACATTATCCTAATAAATAATCAGAAACTAAAAATGTTTGGACTGTTTTTTTATATGTTGAGAAATTTTTCAATATTCCTGTGTTAAGTTCTAAGGCATATCAACATGTTTGCAAGATATAAAATGAACAGTAAATTTTTTGGGAGCAAAGGTTCAAATTTTCTAACTAGAAAATCTAAAGCAAGTGGCTTCACAATGATCAGAGTTAAAGGAATTTCATTAAGAGGCAACACACAGTGAGAAGCAGCTATGGCCATATAAAAGTTAGAAAAGAGAGTGAAAAAAGACCCTAATAACCACAGTAAGATAACAAAATATCAGAAAACCTATAGGAATTCAAGCATACTTCAAAAAGTTTGTGGAGGGGCCAGCGCTGTGGCACAGTGGTTTAATCCTCCGCCTGCAGTGCTGGCATCCCATATAGGTGCCGGTTCTAGTCCCAGCTGCTGCTCCTCTTCCAATCTAGCTCTCTGCTGTGGCTTGGGAAAGCAGTAGATGGCCCAAGTGTGTGGGCTCCTGCACCCATGGGGGAGACCAGGAAGAGACACCTGGCTCCTGGCTTCAGATCAGCACAGCTCTGGCCTTTGCAGCCATCTGGGGAGTGAACCAGTGGAAGGAAGACCTTTGTCTCTGTCTCTCCCTCTCACTGTCTGTAACTCTACCTCTCAAATAAAATCGTTAAAAAAAAAAAAAAAAAGTTTGTGGAGAACTTGAATTAAATTGGGTACAAAAATTTTGAAACCCCTGCTCCCCACCATGAAAAGCATTTTCCATGAATTTTGAAGTACCCTTGTACACTGAAAAGAAATAAGCAAGATCTCTCTGAAGAAAAAAACCCTTATTTAAAGATGAACAGCTGAGGGGCTTGTGCTATAGCGCAGCAGGTTAAGCCATGGCCTTCAGTGCCAGTATCCCACATGGGTACCGATGCTCTTCTGATCCATCTCACTGCTAATGGCCTGGGAAAGCAGCAGAAGATGGTCCAAGTTCTTGGGCCTCTGCACCCACATGGGAGACCTGGAAGAAACTCCTGGCTCCTCGATTTAGCCTGGCCCACTCCCGGCCATTGCAGCCTCTCTCTCTGTCTGTCTCTTTCTCTCTCTCTCTCCCCCTCCCCCCACCAACTGTTTCAAATAAATAAGCCTTAAAAAATAATCAAAAAGATGAAGAGCTGAGCTATGTTCTATATGTAAGACAAGATATAAATGAAAATATTAATTCTTAGGCAAACTAATCTATATATTTCACGCAATTTTAATCAAAATCCCAACAATTTTTGAACTGTAATCACAAAAGACTAAACCTAATAAACCCCAAACAAAAGCCAAAATATGCTTTCTAAGCAAGACAAATAAGTGTCATTCATGAAAAAGGTCACTATCCTCTAAACAATAAGGACTAAAAACACAAAACTGAAAACTTACAAGAAAACTGAAAAATTAGGTATCACCATGAAAAAAGTCCTCATTAGAAACACAGGAAATTGCTGTCAATGGGCAATCACTCTAAGAAACACAAATAGGTACGTGGAGGAGGGAGCCACCCTCATTCCTTGATGTAGCAGAGGAAAGCCAGACAGGTCACAACTCCACCTGTGGTCATAGTGGAGCCTGGAATTACAGGGACTGAAGCTGTATGTTCATACTGTTCTACAGTGAAATTCAGATTTTATAAAGTAAACGTATTACTTCTGTAATTTAAAAAAGGAAATGAAAAGTAAAACTGAATTGTTAAAAAGAACTACTTTCTATCTTCCTTTCATGATATCTTCAAAGACATACTACCTCTTGGTCCAGGTTGTATTCTTCATTTGAATTAAGTGCAACCTTTACAGTAATATAATCCCCATTTTTCACAGCATCTCTCAACAAATCTAAAATCAAAGAGCAGAGAAATTAGGTTTTGTATTACCAGTTCTGAGAAAAGGATTTCTTTTTTTAACATTTAGTAAATTTCGAAAGTACAACTTTTGGAATATAGCGACTTATCCCCCCATAACCTCTCTCCTACCTGTAACCATCCCATCTCCCACTTCCTCTCCCATCTCATTCTTCATCAAGATTCATTTTCAATTATTTTTATATACAGAAGATCAACTTAGTATATATTAAGTAAAGATTTCATGAGTTTGCACCCACACAAATACACAAAGTATAAAGTACTGTTTGAAGACTGGTTTCACCGTGAATTCTCATAGTACAACACATTAAGGACAGAGATCCCACATGGGGAGTAAGTGCACAGTGACTCCCGTTGTTGATTTAACAAGTGCCACTTTTATTTATGACGTCAGTAATCACCCAAGGCTCTTGTCATGAGCTGCCAAGGCTATGGAAGCCTCTAGAGTTCACAAACTCCAACCTTATTTAGATACAAGGTCATAAGCAAAATGGAAGTTCTCTCCTCCCTTCAGAGAAAGGTACCTCCTTTGATGGCCCGTTCTTTCCACTGGGATCTCACTCACAATAATCTTTCATGTAGGTGATTTTTTTTTGCCACAGTGTCTTGGCTTTCCATGCCTGAGAAACTCTCATGGGCTTTTTAGCCAGATTGGAATGCCTTAAGGGCTGATTCTGAGGCCAGAGTACTGTTTAGGGCATCTGCCATTCTATGAGTCTGCTGTGTATCCCGCTTCCCATGTTGGACTTTCTGAGAAAAGGATTTCTAAAACTTCAGAACTACTCACTACTTGGAATTGCATCTGCAATAGTGAAATTCTCATCTTCCCCATCAAGGTGCTTTTGAAAATCTTCCAATTTCATCCACTCCAACTGCAAGTCCATGCCCAAACTCAAAATCTGTTGCCTGCCATCTGGAACACACAATAGCCTTATTAACACATTTCTCAGGAGTGGAAAAAAAAAAAGAAGAAAAATGCTATTTATTAAATGTGTGGTGTCTTAACCAAAACTTTACTTCTAATAAGTCATTATAAAAATGGGTCTTTCCTTCTTTAAAAAAAATCTGAGAGGCAGAATGCAGGTCTCCTTCTTAGGTGGCAGGAACCCATCACCTGCTGTCTCCCAGGACAGGCATTAATAGGAAGATGGATCTGAGGAAGCAAAGCTGGGACTTGACCCCAGGCACATCAATGTGGGATACAAATGTCCCAAGCAACTTTTTTTTTTTTTTTTAAGGATTTATTTTATTTATTTGAAAGGCAGAGTTACAGAGAGAGGTAGAGACGGAGAGAGAGAGGTCTTCCATATGCTGGTTCACTCCCCAAATGGCTGCAACGCAAATGGCTGGGCCGGGGAGAAGCCAGAAGTCAAGAGCTTCTTCCAGGTCTCCCATGTGGGTACAGGGGCCCAAAAGCACTTGGGCCATCCTCCACTGCTTTCCCAGGTGCATTAGTGGGGAGCTAGATTGGAAGTAGAACAGCCAGGACTGGAACCGGCACCCATAGGGGATGCCAGCCTGCAGACCGGGGATTTAACCTGCAGTGCCACAGCACTGGCCCTACCAAGCAGCATCTTAAATACAGTCTCAAATGCCTACCTCAGTTGCTACAGTTTTATACAGTCAATTTTATTGTTACTGTAATAATTAGCTTTGGCTTTTCCTGAGTTTTCCACATAAATTTTAGAATTAGGATTCTGGTTGGAACTGCAGTGATGCCACTAAACAGTTTGAAGAAAATGACAGATTAGTAAAATTGTTTGCCTATTAGTAAAAATAGTATATATGTTGATTTTAGTGATTTTTAGGAAATCTTCATGATTTTTTCCATACAGGTCTTGTTTTACCTTTTATGAATAATATTCTTAGTAAATGTGCTGCTTTTGAAAATGCTTTTAATAAGTCTATTTGTTATTATGTAGAAATGTGTATGTAGATAGAAAATACTTGGACAACTGATTTTTGTGTATTTATCTTATATCCAGCCACCATGCTGAGCTTTCAGTATTTCTAATAATTTCTTCGTAGATTCTTTTGGATTAGTGGTGACACAAGGTATCCTTGTATTGGACTTGATCTAAGAAAAATGTTTCACCATTACAAAAGATGTTTGCTACAGGCTTAATGCTGTTTATCAACTCAAAGTTCTCTTTACTCATAGTTTCTAGATTCTGTCTTTTAAAAAAATTATTTATTTGAAAGGCAGAGTTACAGAGATGGGGGAAGAGAGAGATAGAAAATCTTCGATCTACTGGTCCATTCCCCAGATGGCTGCAAATGCCACTGCTGGGCCAGGCTGAAGCCAGAAGCCAAGAACTTCATCTGGGTCTCCTATATCGATGTTAGAGGCCCAAACACTTGGGCCATCTTCCCTTTCTTTTCCCAGGCTGTTAGTACAGAGCTGGATCAGAAGTGGAGCAGCCAGGGGCTGGCAGTTTTGCACAGTGAGTTAAAGCCCTGGTCTACAGCAATGGCATCCCTTATGGGTAGAAATTCAAGTCCCAGCTGCTCCACTTCCAATCCATCTCCTGCTAATGTGCCTGGAAAAATCAGTGGAGGATGACCCACGTGCTTGGGCCCCTGCACCCACATGGGAGACCTGGATGAACTCCTGGTTCCTGGCTTATGCCCAGCCCAGCCCCAGCCATTGTGGTCATTTGGGGAATGAACCAGCAGATGGAAGACCTCTGTCTCTCTGTTCCTCTAATTCTGACTTTCAAATAAAATAAATTAACTTTAAAAAAAAAAAAATGGGGTGCAGCACAGTGGGTTAAACTGCCACATGCAATGCAAGCATCCTATAATGAAGCACTAGTGTGAGTACTGCCTGCTCTGCTTCCTTTCTAGTCTCTGCTAATGTGCCTGGGAAAGCAGCAGAAGATGGCCAAAGTACTTGACCCTCTGCTACCCATGTGGGAGACCCAAATGGAGTTCTGGGTTCCCGGCCCCAGCCATCGTGGCTGTTTCAGGAGTGGACCAGTAGTTGAAGATCTTTCTGTCGCCTTCTGTCACACTCTTCCTTTTAAACTATAAATAAATGTACAAAAGAAAATAAAAATAAAAGCAAGAATGATATTCAGGGTCAGACATTTAGCCTAGCAGTTAAAGATGCCTGAATCCTATACTGGAGTATCTGGGTTCTAGCTCCTGACTCCAGCTCCCACTATTGTAGACCCTGGGAGGCAGCAGGTGTAACTCAAGTAATTAGGTTCTTGCCACCCACATGTGAAACCTGGATTGCATTCCTAGCTCCTGGCTTTGGCTTAGCTCAGCCTCAGCTGTTAGTGGTCATTTGGGTAGCAAACCTACAAATGGGAGCTCTCCTTCTGAAATACTTTTTTTAAAAAATAAAGAAAAATGAAAGCCTAGACTAATAAACAGGTTTTTTAAAAAAAGTGCTATTAAATAACATTCACCTTGGGAATTGCTGTTGTGGTATAGCGGGTTAAGCCATCACCTGTGATACCAGCATCTCACATGGGTGTCAGTTCAAGTCCTGGATGTCCCACTTCTGGTCCAGTTCCCTGCTAATGGCCTCAGGAAAGCTGCAGAAGATGGCCCAGGTGGCAGATGAAGCTCTTCGTTTCTGGCTTTAGCCTGGCCCAGCACTGGCCATTGCAGCCATCTGGGGAGTGAACCAGCAGATGGAAGATTCTCTAACTTATTAGCCTTTCAAATAAATAAATAAATCTTAAAAAAAAAAACAAAAAACAAAAAAACAAAAAACAAAAAACTACTTCCACCAAAACAATTCCTAAGGAAAACCAAACTTGTTTGTAAGAGATTACAAAATGAAATAAACAAAAAGGAATCTGATTCAGTTTGCTATTGTCTGGGATCTGAATCCTTCAAAAAAGAAAGATTTATTTTATTTGAAAGGCAGAGTAACAGAGATCTTCCATCCATGGTTCATTTCCCGAATGGCTGCAACAGCTGTCAGGGGCCTGGGCCAGGCCAAGCCAGGAGCCTGGAACTCCATCTGGCTCTCCCATGTGGGTGGCAGGGGCCCAGGTACTTAGGGCATCTTCTGTTGTTTTCCCAGGCACAACAGCAGGGTAGAGCAGCAGGGACATGAGCCAGTACTCTTGGTATGGAGAACGTGACACTGCAGAGAGTGGCTTAACCTGGTGTGCCACATCGCAGGCCTCAAGCACCTGAATTTGTGAATTTGGCCTGTCATTTTCCTTCCATTCACAGTTTTTGTCTGGTATTAATGGTGTCAGAAAAAATTAATGTTGTATATTCTGAGGAAGATGTAGATTGGTAGCACTTGCACATAAAACCCTCTGGGCCTGGTGTTAAATTTGTGAAGCATTTCAATTACTATTTCATGCTAAGTTACAATTTTTCATTCAGTTTTGTGAAATTGCATTTTCTGGGAAAGTTCCCACTTTCAGTTTTCAATCTATCCCAAGAAACTCCCTATTGAATTTTTTCATTTGTACACAATATGCATGTGTTATTCTATTTGAAATACTGTTCCCCTCACCCATGCCAGAAACTCGTTAGTCTTTTCAATACAAAGTTTGATCCTATTAACATCTTTGGTTTATTCTGTCCTAGTTATAAATACCTAAGTACCCTTTTAGTTTCTACTCCCTACTGCCAGTCATTCTATATCAAGTCCTTCCCTTCTTCTCAGTTGATTCCAAAGCCCTCTGGACAGGGTTTACACTATAAATTTATTAATAAATACTATTTACTGTAAAGTTAAAAGGGCAAAATATATATATATATATATACACGTCTATGCTTGTAATAAATTTTTTGTGTGTAACTTTCTGAAATCTAGAAAGACATATAGGCTGGTGGCAATGAAAAGTCAGGTACAAAATCAGAAATCTTATACATTTGCTTGAGCAAATGTTAGCAACTCAGAAAATGTTTGATCCGGTGACCAAAGCCTTCAAAAATAGTTGCTTGGTCAAGATAAAAAAAAAAAGTCTTCTATTCCATTATTTTCTCATTTTGTGATCAGAATTACAAAAGAATGTACTGCACCATCCTTCAAAACTCTCCCACACAGACTCACCCAGGTTCTCGTCTGAGTGGCACACACTGTCCAAAACCTCTGGATCCCCTTCTGCTGCAATGTGTGCCCAAGTATCAGTTTCTTCTCTTGTATTCCTCCTCTCTTTCATTGACTGCTTGTTTTCCTTGGTTTTCTGGTCTTCTGTGGTTTTACAATCCAGTGGTAGTTCTTCTTTTTTCCGACTATTTTCAGGAACATCATTTTTTTCTTCTGGAGTTTTTTTAAATAAATCAAATGCAGTTTTAATTTCCTTAAATGCTGGTGAGAAAATTAAATTGATGGGAAGTTTGAGACACAAAAGAAAATATGGTAAGTGTTAAACATATTTTCTTAGCTTTTACTAAGACATATATATATATGTATATATACTTATAAAGCAAGATCAAGATTTACTATCAAAGTTACAAACCACTTCTACCAGTCTTTCTTCTGTCTGCTTAATATTTAAAATTGAGTCTTAATCAGTTGTTCTGAACACACCTAGCTGTGACACAGGCCTTCTGCAGATGACCCCAGTCATACCACCAACTTTCCTACTGCTGCCTGGCTACAACTGCCTGCTGGAGCTTGTACAATCAGAGCATTGCTGCAGCTGGTAAAATTCTACATGATGTCAATTTTAAACTAAAAATCAAAGTGGAAAAATGGCAAAACACTAGGCCTAGTGTAATAATTCAAAAAGAGAACAAAATTAAGAATAACTCTATTACAAAGTCTGGGTATACGGCAAATAGTTTCTATTAGCAGGGTGTCTTGAAAAACAGACTCCTTGCTAGTTCCACCATGAATGGGACAAGCAGTTCTATGTAAGGGTGTTTCATTCACAATTTGACATTGAAACAGAAGAAAAAGGTGACGAGCCAGGTCCAGTTCCATAGTATTTTGAATCTTCAATAACTCTGTTGAATGGTAGGTCCTTAAGATTTTGTTTTGAGCAGAGAGAGTCTTTAAAATACAGTCACCTGACACATGACCCATTGAAACAGCCACTGCTCCTTCTGAACTTCCATTACCTGCTATTATTGCCAAGCCCCTGTTAGGCTTAGAACAAAGCCTACTCTTAATATTACTTCAGTTAGATAGAGCACACAGGAGAAAGCCCAAGGGAAATTACCCACCCCTTAGAATCACTACTTCCAAGAGAACCTGTGCTTTAAGTACTTTTGGTCCATAAACTAAGTATTTATCTGCTGGAGCTCACTCAAACACTGTAACAGTGATATTTAAATGAAATACCTGTTCCAGTATTAACATGTATTTGGATTCTGAATTATCCTATCTTGAATTGACCCAAAATGCGTATTTGGTACTTACACAAATGACATTTTAAAAATACAAGTTTTATTTAGCACCCACTATAAAAGTCATATTTACTATTACTAATCCTGTCAAAAAAATTCTAATCCGTTCTAGTATCACACTGAAAAGGAGGAAGAACAAGTGAATAGGAAGAAAAAAATCTATTAAAGAAAGAATGTAAACTGTTATGTAACAAACTTACATAGCTGCTTAAAGTCTTCCGTGAACAAAACTCCCAGTTCTTAACAATGGTTAGACAGATACTTTTGCATAAAATGGCAAGATAAATGCTAAAACATTGGTATTTACACTCACTCTTTAATCCCTTTGGCTCTTTTCGGCTTTTCTCTTCCTTGTCTGAATCATGCCTTTTTTGATATTTTTCTTTGGGTTCATTTTTTTGGGTCTCTTTCTCCTGAAAAAGATGTATTTAAGATCCAAAACAGGAATAGATGAGGACTACTTGTAGAAGTCTTTATTTAGTGAAGGACTAAGCCTGTGACTACAAAATAAAAATTATGTTATTGTGTATATGAAATGCATGAACCTGCTTTCTTAATATAAATTTTTAAGAACTTTTTAATAACTTTATAAGCAAAAAAAAAAATGTATGAACAGCTGAACTCTATATTTGAAAACTAAACTAAAGGTCTCTAATGGCATCAATGATTGCCTTTCTGTAGTATGGCTCATGATCACTGGTCATTTGTGACTTTAACTGCTTCCACAATTAGGATTATTCTTTACCATAAGATGATTTACAGACCATCTAATTGAAAACCCAAAACCAGTTACCCTACTCTCTTTTAGGAATTTTATGACCAGCGACCAGCATGGTGGTGCAGTGGGTTAAAGCCCCAGCTTGCAGCCCTGGCATCCCATATGGGCCCTCGTTCAAGTCCCAGCCGCCTCACTTATGATCCAGCTCCCTGTTAATGTGCCTAGAAAAGCAGTGGAGAATGGCCCAAGTCCTTGGGCCCCTGCACCCATGTGGGAGACCTGGAAGGAGCTCCTGGCTCCTGGCTTCGGATTGGCTCAGCTCCAGCTGTTGTAACCATTTAGGGAGTGAACCAGTGGATGGAAGACCTTTCTCTCTCTCTCCTTCTCTCAGTAACTCTTTCAAATAAATAAAATAAATCTTTAATTAGAAAAAAAGAATTTCACTATCAAAAACATTATAAAGATAAAACTGATTGTAAAAAAATAAAAAAAATTCCACCTATTCTTATCAACCAAGTAAAGTATGAGTATTTTATTTCTCTATCTTCCCCTTTCTGATCCTCACATATTCATTCTTTATTTACACTGCAGAGTTTACATGACTGTGTTCATATGTATGCATGGCTTTCTTCAATCACATTTTCTAAATGTTCCCATTTGCTACACTGACCTCATAATTAGTGTTCCAATGGCTATAAACCATTTTCCTCCATGGCTAAACAAATTGCTATCAGTTTTTCACCAGTGAAGACAATACTGCCCTAAGTATCTTTTTATACATAGCTTTATAGGCCTTTAAAAAAAGACTTCCTTAAGATAAATTCTAGAAAATGTGAATAATGGGGCCAGTGTTGTGGTGTGGCAGGTTAAGCCACTGCCTGCGACACCAGCATCCCATATGAGCAAAGGTTTGAATCTCGGCTGCTACACTTCTGATCCAGGTACCTGCTAATGTGCCTGGGAAAGCAGAAGAGAGCCCAAATGCTTGGGCTCATGTACCCACATGAGAGACCTGGTTGGAGTACCAGGCTCCTGACTTTAGCCAGTCCTAACTGTTGTAGCCATTTGGGGAGTGAACCAGTAGATGGAAGATCACTGTCTCTTTCTCTTTCTGCCTTTCAGATAAATGTCAGTCTTAAAAAGAAAGAAAGAAAAGTGTGAATAATGGATGAAAAGTTAAACTGATCTTTTTATAGCCCTCGACAAATACTGAATATACACCTACTTTCATAATTTGCAAAATATTTTCATTTTGAAAAACTCATGTAAAAATAATGGGATGAACTGTATATTAAATATGGTTTATAAGAATTAAAAGACTTGTGGGTGGGTATTGTGGTGCAGTGCTTTAAGTCACTACTTGGGGGGGGGGCATTGTGGCATAGGGGGTAAAGCTACCACCTGCAGCACCAGCATCTACATTGGTGCTGGTTCGAGTCCTGGCTGCTTTACTTCCGATCTAGTTCTCTGCTATAGCCTAGGAAAGCAGTAGAAGATGGCCCAAGTCTTTGGGCCCTGGCACCTGTGTGGGAGTCCTAGAAGAAGCTTCAGGCTCCTGGCTTTGGACTGGCCCAGCTCTGGCTGTTGCGGCCAGCTGGGGAGTGAATCAGCCAATGGAAGACCTCTCTCTTGCTCTGTCTCTGCCTCTCTATAACTTGTCTTTCAAATAAATGAACAAATCTAAAAATAAAAGTCATTGCTTGGGATGCCAACACCCATATGGGAGTGCTGGTTTGAGTCTCAGTTATTCCACTCTTATTCAGCTTCCTGCTAATCTATTCTGGGAGATAGCAGATGATGGCTTCAGTGCTTGGGCCCCTGCCAACCACATGAGACACCTGAATGCAGTTCCTGGCTCTGGCATCAGCCTGACCTATCCCTGACTGTTGCGGGCTTAGGAAGTAAACCAGCAGATGAATTCTGCCTTTCTTTTCCTTTTTTAAATTTTTTTTGACAGAGTTATAGACAGTGAGAGAGAGAAGACAGGGAGAAAGGTCTTCCTTCCGTTGGTTCACCCCCCAAATGGCCGCTATGGCCAGAACTGCGCCGATCCAAAGCCAGAAGCCAGGTGCTTCTTCTCGTTGTCTCAAGCGAGTGCAGGGACCCAAGCACTTGGGCCATCCTCCGCTGCCCTCCCGGGCCACAGCAGAGAGCTGGACTGGAAGAGGAGCAATGGGGACTAGAACCTGGCGCCCATGTGGGATGCCAGCGCTGCAGGCGGAGGATTAACCAAGTGAGCCACGGCACCAGCCCCTCTTCTGCCTTTCAAGTACGTGAAAATAATAAATTAGTAAACATTTAAAAATGTTAAAAGACTTAAAGTAAACGTTCTTAAGAGGGAAAAATACCAAATAGGATATGAAAAGCTGATAGGCTTCACTGACAATGCTATTATCTGAATACCTCTAAAAAAAATCTGACTTCTGTTCACAAATTAACCTTTAATTTTCTCATAATTACTAAAAACAAAGTTGAAGACTCAGAGATAACGTGGGAGCCACAAGGCTAGAAGAGCTTCAGCACTTAGTGAGTAGAAGGAGTAGCAATGCTAATCCCTGAAGAAACACTGTCCGAACTGCGCCTTTTCTTACTGGTGCCTGCGCCAGTCGCTGGCAGTCCTTCTGGACTCTCGGGTTTCCCTGTGACCCTTACCTCCTCAGCAGAGTCGGAGGACCTGAGGCCTCTCTCCTCCTCGGCTAACCGTGAAGTCTTGTGAGTCTGGGCAGACACAGGTGTCAGTCTGTCCAACTCTGTGGTACTTCTGCCCTTGTCTTGATTCTTTGGCTTTTTAGGAAGGGTTTTCTTCTCGGAGAAAACACTCTTGTTTTCTAGCTTCTTGCTCTCTTTCGGATCCTCAGTCTTCCTTGGTTTCTTTTTTTTCCTTCTGCTTCTATTATCAGTATCCTCCTCAGCACTTAAAGTGCCATCTACCTGTTTCTCAAAAACAATCTCCTGTACTCCATCCTGCCCCCCTGCATCTTTTGCGTTTTTATTATTTTGTTCCTCATCTCTGTTGTCAGAAACTAACTCTTCATTGTTGTCTTCCTGAAGAGGAGAATCATTAATTACAATCGACTCAGACTCAGACAGAGATTCAACAGATTTCTCTTTTTTTGTTTTTCTGTTTTCTTTGGGATCCTCTCTTATTTTAGTCTTTAAATCTCTCATTTCACCTTTTTTAACCTTTTTTAATTCCTTAGTTTCCTTTATTTCATCTTTCTTTGCCTTTTTAGGTTCTTTTAATTCTTCTTTGGCTTCCAAAATTCTTTTCTTTGTCCTTAAATCAAAAACTAAACTTTCGGAGGAACTCTCCAGATCTGGTTTGGATTTATCTTTTAGTTTCCCAGTCTTTGCTTTTTTCTTTTTCAGATCCTCTGGGCTTTTTTCTTCTCTCTGCCTTAACTTTTTCTTTTTCTTCCTTGGGGAAGTGTCTTCTTTTGTCTCACTCTGCTGATCGCTATCGGAGTTTGCCTCAAATATGTCATTATTTAATGACAGTCTCTATAAAACACAAAAGGTTAAAATACTCATTAGTAATTTTAATACTCATTAATAATTGTAAAGATTGTGAGAAACAGTAAGTGAAATATGCATACTTTTCTCCTCCAACCAGAGTCTCAGCCCCTCGGAATTACTTACCTAAACTGAAGATTATGCACATACTTGGTGCTGGTGATGAGTGTCAATTTAAAAAGCACACAGACAGAACAGACAATGTCCATGCTCTGAAGATTCTAACGGAAGCAGGAGTGAACAGTAATATTTTCATGCATAGTGGGTTGTACATGATTTAAACGTCAACATCTCATATAAAGAAAGTAATTTTTACTTTATTACTAACGAAGTAGTAACCAAAACTCAAAAAATAGATGTGTTTTTAAAGACCTTGGATCCAAGAATACTCTTAAACTTTGCTATTACATTTCATAAATATGCATGGTACAAATAAGATTGTATATAAATCTTACTTCTCCAACTGATTTGATTTCTGTTAGATAAGCTCTCATAGTTGCTATGGACAATATATTTTCCTATTCTAAAATTTAAAATGAAACTTAATGATAAAATATTTGTGTAGCCAAAAACACTACACATTTCCCCAAATTGTCTTGGGAGTAGAAAGAAGGAAGAGAAAAGCTAGGTATACTTTTTTTTTTTTTTCGAAGAATATTTATTTATTGATTTGAAAGACAGAGTTAGAGAGGTGTGGACACAGAGAGAGTGAGAGAGAGAGGTCTTCCATCTGTTGGTTTACTCCCCAAATGGTTGCAAGGGCCAGTTGGGCTGATTTGAAGCCAGGAGCTTCTTCTGGGTCTTCTTCCATGCAGGTACAGAGGCCCAAAGACATGGGCCATCTTCTACTGCTTTCCCAGACCATAGCAGAGAGCTGGATTGGAAGTGGAGCAGCTGGGACTTGAGGCAGGGCCCTATGGGAAGCGTGCATTGCAGGCAGAGGCTTAGCCCACTATGCCACAGCGCTGGCCTCAAGGTATACTTTTTTTTTTTTTTTTTTTTTGACAGGCAGAGTTAGACATTGAGAGAGAGAGACAGAGACAAAGGTCTTCCTTCCATTAGTTCACCCCCCCAAATGGCTGCTACAGCAGGCATGCTGCGCCGATCTGAAGCTAGGAGCCACGTGCTTCTTCCTGGTCTCCCATGCAGGTGCAGGGCCCAAGCACTTGGGCCATCCTCCACTGCCTTCCCGGGCCACAGCAGAGAGCTAGACTGGAAGAGGAGCACAGGGTCAGAACCTGGCGCCCCAACTGGGAATAGAACCCGGGGTACCAGCACCGCAGGTGGAGGATTAGCCAAGTGAGCCGTGGCACCAGCCTAAAAATGAATCTTAATGAAGAATGGAATGGGAGAGGGAGTAGGAGATGGGATGGTTTGCGGGTGGGAGGGTGGCTATGGAGGGAAAAGCCGCTATAATCCAAAAGTTGTACTTTATTTTTTTTTTTAAAGATTTATTTATTTATTTGAAAGAGTTACACAGAGAGAGGAGAGAGAGAGGGAGGGAGGCAGGGAGATGGAGAAGGAGAGAGAGTGAGGGCTTCCATTCGATGGTTCACTCCCCAGTTGGCCACAACAGCCGAAGCTGTGCCAATCTGAAGCCAGGAGCCAGGAGCTTCTTCTGGGTCTCTCATTTGGGTGCAGGGCCCAAGGACTCGGGCCATCTTCTACTGCTTTCTCAGGCTACCACAGAGAGCTGAATCAGAAGTGGAGCAGCCAGGTCTGGAACCAGCGCCCATATGGGATGCCGGTGCTTCAGACTAGCTGCTTCAGACCAGGGCGTTAACCTGCTGTACCACAGCGCCAGTCCCCAAAAGTTGTACTTTCGAAATTTATATTTATTAAATAAAAGTTTTCTAAAAAAAAGTATGCTGGAGAACCCCAAACTACAAACAGGGGAGGAAACCACCAAGAGCTGTAAGAGCTGTGTGACACTGATATGGAAACAAGGAAGCAGAGGACGTGATCACCAAGCGGGGAAGAATCAATGAAAAGCCTGGCAGTTCTTTCTGAGAAGAGCAGCTGACCTGTGAGGAGCCCTGTGGGGGGGGTGCTGGAGGTGCTGAAGTTGGTGCCCTCTGACTGACTATGAACTTCCACTGCTGGCTCCCTCTCAGGACTTCCCTAACTACACTGCACAAGGAAGAAAACAGCTAGGATTAGATTTTTCTGGACAGGAAAAAAGAAATACAGGATTCAGATGTACAGGGAGCAGGGGAGGAGGGGGTGTGTATAGAGAGCCAGAAAAAGCCTTACAAAGGCTATATTTTTTTAACTTTTTATAAACAGAAAAAAGGAGGCTGCTCAGGAGCCGTGACAGTAAGGAAATTATCCTGTTCCCCCTGCCGCCCAGAACTTCAGGAGGAGCCATCCCACATAAGTACAAGAGCAGGAAATGATTACAGTACAAACACAAACAAACCTGCAAAGCAACAGTCATCAAGAAGCAACAGGCAGTTCATCCTACTTCAAAACGGCTTTTAGAAATCTAGAAGGTAAGTTTATTTTGGTGCAAAATATTTGAAAATCCATGCATAGTATTTTTTCCCCATAATGCTCATCTTTCATGAATTTCTTCACATATGCTCTTATTTATTGTGTACCTCAACAGGAATAGATGAGGAGATGAACAATGCAGTTTTCTTTTCCTAACTCTTAATTTTCTGTACCTACAGTGAAAAGAATTACCAAAAGCTCATGAATGAAAAAGCTTTTCTTCCAGAGGGGGACAAGCCACAATCAGTTTTATTTTTGCTATATTCCTGTCTACTGACATTACTTCAATGATTAGGCCAAAGAATCAATGTGGTGCGAATATCAGAATACTTGAGGAGTGACAGAATGGCCCAAGTACTTCAGTTCTTGCGATCTATCTATGTGGAAGACGCAGATAGAGTCCTGGCTCCTGCCTTCAGCCTGGCCCAGCTCAGGCTGTTGCAAGCATTTGGGGAGTGAACCAGTGGACGAAAGAGAAAGATCTCTCTGTCACTGTGCTTTTTAGACAAACATACATTATGGACAAACAACTTAAGTTTTGACACACTTCGTTTTTGTTTTTGTTTTTTTAATTTTCATTTTGCTCTTAACTATTAACCGGCTCAATTATTAACCAGTTCTCATGTTTAAACTAGATACTTGTGAACTGGAATTATAGGTTGAGTACAGAAAGCAAATATGGCCAAAAAAAAAAAAAAAAATCACAGAAAGCACTGAATGAAAACCAGCTGGTTATATGGAATTGATAATAAGGAATATTGTGTGTTATTTGTAAACTGTTTAGTATATATACTTTGTGTAGTGAAATTTAGAATGAACTCATGTACTTAAAAACAAAGAAGAAATATGAGATAAAACATGATACCTGAATATCCTTCTTGACTGTTCGGGCTTTGTTCTCCGCAACTTTCTTTCTGAATTCAAGAAGAACTTCTTTGCAGTCCTCCAGGTGAATCTCAGGCTCCCACGTGTCATCATCTGAGGTATATCCTTTCCATCGAACTTTGTAAAGGATTTTACCCTGTTGTATAAATTTAAAACAGGCAAACAAAGCATATTACTGACTTGATTAAATTTCTCCAAACATAGAACTCCTGAGAATATATGAAAGAACTGGAAAACTGCTTCTAAATGGAAATCCGAATCATATTATAAAGTGGGTTCATCTCCTGACACAAGTGGCTTTTGAAAACACAGCATTCCTAATATACTTTTCAAAAACTGAAGACTGGGGCCGGCACTGTGGTGCAGTTTGTTAATCCTCTGCCTGCAGTGCCGACATCCCACATGGGCACTGGTTCTTGTCCTGGCTGTGTGTGCGTGTGTGTGCATGTGTGTCTTAAATAAATTTTAAAAAATAAGCTAGGGGCTGGCGCTGTGGCGTAGTGGGTAAAGCCACCACCTGCAGTGCCAGCATCCTATATGGGCGCCGGTTCGAGTCCCAGCTGCTCCACTTCTGATCCAGTTCTCTGCCATGGCCTGGAAAAACAGAAGATGGCCCAAGTCCTTGGGTCCCTGCACCGGCATAGGAGACCCGGAAGAAGCTCCTGGCTCCTGGCTCCAGATCAGTGTAGCTCTGGCTGTTGCGGCCAACTGGGGAGTAAACCAGTGGATGGAAGACCTCTTTCTCTCTCTCTCTCTCTGCCTCTCCTTCTTTCTCTGTGTAACTCTGACTTTCAAATAAATAAATCTTTAAAAAAAAAAAAAAAAAAGTAAGCTAAAGCCATGAAATCTTAAAACACAGGAACAGATTTTTGTCTTTGGCAACAGATTCCCGAATATTGCACCAAAAACCCAAACTAAAGAAAAATAAACCATATTTAATAAAAATTAACTTGTGCATTAAGAACATTACCAATAGAGTGAAAAGACAACTGACAAAATGGGAGAAAATATTTACCAATGACCTATTTAGTAAGAGATTAATATCTAAAACACAGAAGCAACTCCTACAACTCACAAACAAGACAAAACAATTCACTTAAAAATGGGTAAGGGGCCGGTGCCGCGGCTCAGTAGGCTAATCCTCCACCTTGCGGCGCCAGCACACCGGGTTCTAGTCCTGGTCGGGGCGCCGGATTCTGTCCCGGTTGCCCCTCTTCCAGGCCAGCTCTCTGCTATGGCCAGGGAGTGCAGTGGAGGATGGCCCAAGTGCTTGGGCCCTGCACCCCACGGGAGACCAGGATAAGTACCTGGCTCCTGCCTTTGGATAGGCGCAGCACGCGGGCCGCAGCACACCGGCCGCGGCAGCCATTGGAGGGTGAACCAACGGCAAAGGAAGACCTTTCTCTCTGTCTCTCTCTCTGTCCACTATGCCTGTCAAAAAAAATAAAAAATAAAAATGGGTAAGGGACTTGAACAGGTGTTTCTCCAAATAAAACATACAAATCATTAACAAGTATATGAAAAGAATGTTCAATATTACTAGTCCCTAAGAAATACAAATCATAACTACAAAATGAGAAAATAACAAATACTGATGAGAATGTAAACAAACTGGAACCTTCTTATACTGGTGTTGGGAATATAAAATGATACAGCTACTATGGAAAGCAGTTAGATAGTTCCTCAAAAAGCTAAACACAGAGTCAATCACCCTATTACCCAGCAATTCCACAAGTAGAAACAGTTGGCCCTTAGTATCTCTGGGTTCTGCATGCATGGATTCAACCAATCTCAGGTCAAAAATATCTGGGGGAAAAATGCACTGTTAGTACATATACAGACTACATACACAGACTTTCCTATCATTATTCCTTTAATAATACAGTGTAACAACTACTTACATGGCACTTACACTGTATTAGGTATTGTAAGTCATACAGATGTGATTTAAAGCATACAGGAGGATGTAAGTAAATTTAAATGCAAATACTGTATCATTTCCATTAAGGCACTGGACTAAGGTATCTGGGTAGAAGGTGGAAGTGTCCTGGAACCAATACCCCACAGATACCTAGAATGACTGTGTATACCCAAAAGAATAGAGAACAGCAACTTAAACAGACATCTGTACACCAATGTTCATTACAGCATTATTCACAGTAGCCAAAAAGTGGAAACAACTTAAGTGTTCATCAGTGATAAATGGATAAGACATAGTGCACACATACAATGGAATATTATGCAACCTGAAAAAGGAAATCCTGACATGCTACCACATGGATCAATCATTTTTAAAAAGATTTATTTATTTGAAAGTCAGGGGCCGGCACTGTGGCGTAGCGGGTAAAGCCACCACCTGCAATGCCAGCATCCCATATGGGCGCCAGTTCAAGTTCTGACTGCGTCACTTCCAATCCAGCTCTCTGCTATGACCTGGGAAAGCAGATGGCCCAAGTCCTTGGGCGCCTGCACCCATGTGGGAGATCAGAAGCAGCTCCTGGCTCCTGGCTTCGCATCAGCTCAGCTTTGGCCATTGCAGCCAACTGGGGAGTGAACCAGCAGATAGAAGACCTCTCTCTGCCTCTCCTTCTCTGTGTAACTCGCATACCAATAGAGCCCTGGTCTACTGGTTCACTCAAGTGCCAGCTGGAGTCCCCATTATTCTCTTTGGATCCAACTTCCTGCTTACACTAATGTGCCTTGGAAGGCAATGATGATGGCCCAGGTGCTTATATGGCATGGCCCAGTTGACTGCTGTGACTACTAGGGGAGTGAACCAATGGGAAGATCACCCTCTCTTGGTCACTCTTTCAAAAAAAAAAAAAAAAGTGCCCACAACAGCTAGGTCTGCAATAGCAGGAAGCTGGAATCCAGAAACTCCCAGAGTCTAGAATATTGTAATTTCAATGTGGGACGCTACTAAATGTCTACCCCTCTTATTTAAAAACTAAAATTAAAAAAAAAAGGCATTATCTTATGCTATGATAGTGTAAGTTGGCACAATCACTTTAAAGGTTTTTATTTATGTATTTGAAAGAGCTACACAGAGAGAGGAGAGGCAGAGAGAGAGAGAGAGAGAGAGAGAGAGGTGTCTTCCATCTGCTGATTCACTCCTCAATTGGCTGAAATGGCCGAAGCTGCACCCATCTGAAGCTAGGAGCCAGGAGCTACCTCCAGGTCTTCCCACGTGGATGCAGGAGCCCAAGGATTTGGGCAATCTACTGTTGCCTTCCCAGGCCATAGCAGAGAGCTGGATAAGAAGTGGAGCAGTCAGGACATGAATCAGCGCCCAAATAAGATGCTGGCACTGCAGGCGCCAGCTTTACCTGCTACGCCACAGCGCTGGCCCTCTATAATCACTTTCAGAAACAATTTTCACCTTAAATTGAAGATAAACACATTCCTGTGACACAGTAATCCCACTGCTAGGTGTATGAGTATGTAACCAAGTATAACCAAAGGACACACTTTAAATAAAAATATCCATTAAAGCATTACTCAAAATTGCTAAAAACTGGAAACTACTCAAATGCCCACCAACAGTAGCAGAAAAAGCAAACTGTAATATATTTGCATAAATTGAAAATTAAAGAAACTATAATTCCCATACACTTGTATTAATCTCACAAACATATGGCCAAGCAAAAATTAAAAAAAAAAACACAAATTTTGTGATATTACATTTATATGAAAAGTAACAAATTAAGCAAAACTAGGGATGAGGAACACATGCTTTGGTGACTGAATTACAAAAAAAAAAGAACATAGTTACCATATAATTTAGAATAGTGATTCTGAAAGCTGGAAAGGGACTACTGATCAGGATACTCAAAAGAAATGTCTGGAACTGGCAGCCTAGTATTTTCTGGTGTTGACTTGGAGAACATCCACTTGGATGTTCAACAAGAAAATCTTTATCCACTAACTAATCAAGTAAAATGCCCACAAATATTAGAAAAAAAGGTCCCAATTTATTATATAAAAATTATTCCAATTCAAAGCTTATGCCAAAACATGACATTTGATCCAAGTTTTTCTGAAAACAAACAAAATAATTACAGCAATAAACTAAAAAGAACACAGTTAACATATAAACTCAGTGTTAATACCATTCTCCCAAGCCAGTATTTATCATGGTGATTTCAGCCAAACCATTCCCTTGAGAGAAAAATCAATCGAGTATCTCTTAGTGAGATTACAGATGTTCTTTACATTTTATGTACTTTGTTGTAATTTAAAGTTTTCATTAGAAAAGATGGGAGATTAGGGACAGCATTGTGGCATAATAGGTTAGGCTGCCATGACGCTGGCATCTCATATGGGCAAAGGTTTGAATCCCTTTGCTGCACTTCGATCAAGCTCCCTGCCAATGTGCCTGGGAAAACAGTGGGAGATGGCCCAAGCAGATAGACTCCTGCACCCACGTGGGAGATCTGGATGAATCTCCTGGCTCCAGCCTGCCCCAGCCCTGGCTGTTGTGGCCATCTGGGAAGTGAACCAGTAGATTCCAGATCTCACTGTGTCTTTCCCTCTTGCTTTCTGTAACTGCTTTTCAAATAAATCAATCTTACACACAAACATACCAAAAAAAAAAAAAAAAGAAGAAGAAGAAGAAAAGAAAGAAGTGGGGGACAGAAGACAGCGGTGGGTGGAAGGAAGACTCATTTCATGTGTACAATGTAGTCCCTATCAAGCCTTGCACTGGGCCTGGCCTCAGCTTACTGTCTTGCCATCTCCATTTCCCAAGCGCCTTCTTACCAGCCAGAAAAGCCTGCTCAGACTTTATTGCTCATTTATTACTCTGGGACTCTGCTTTCTCTAGAAGTTGAGTAAATGAGTGAAACTGGGATTAAGAAAATAAGGAAGACAGTTAACAGAATTGTGGGGCAATGGGAAATATGCTAACACAGAAAGCATGAATCTGTCTCATTGTTGCCAATCAGAATTTTCAAGAAGTCTCAAACATGCATTTTTTTTTCTTTTGAAAAAAGATTTATTTGAAACTCATAGTCACAGAGAAAGGGAGGGAGATACAGAGAAAGCAAGAACTTCCATCTGCTGGTTCACTCCCTAAATGACTGCAATGTCCTGGGCAGGGCCAGTCCAAAGCCAAGAGCCAGGAGCTTCTTCCGGTTC